AGTTTGGTGTCATTGGCAAACTTGGCCAGTCCGCTCCTGACTCCAGTGTCCACATCATTAATGAAGATGTTGAACAATATGGGTCCAAGGACAGAGCCTTGGGGGACCCCACTGGTCACAGCGCACCATGACGATTGACTTCCATCAGTTACTACCCTCTGGGTCCGACCATGGAGCCAATTCCCCAGCCAGCGGATCGTGGTGGACCAAAGGCCACAATTGGCCAGTTTCGCCAAGAGGTGATCATGGGATACCAGATCGAAGGCTTTTTTGAAGTCAAGATATATGACATCAATCTCTTCTCTCTTGTCCAGGTGATAGGTCACCTTGTGATATTTGATGTGGTTGTGTGGGGTGTGGTCTACATCTGCCATTAAGAGACTGAAACTTTTATCAGAGTGACAGTATATTGCTTAAAAATTTCTAATAAGAAAGGTATTCTTTATAAATTCTTGAGGATGTATTTAATGGCTCTACCTAAATCCATGACTTGATAGATAAGACTGGAATTTTTATGTGAAAGTCTTTATCTCTTTAGATTTTATATAGCTGACTTGCCTAAGGTAAAAATGCATACGGAGAACTGTTCTCCAGACTATTTTAAATGTTTGTTTTCTCTGCTAGGACAAGAGTGAGTATTCTATTACAGGGTGTGACACTAGGTAACATGTTCAGTGTTGTGGATATAATAAAGATGGATTTTTGTAAAGCTTTTGCTATTGAATTATGTTCCATCCTAGCCCACAATGTGTCCATACATCTCCTCTTTATCTTGAGAGACACCCTAAACACTAGCAAGCGCCAAGACAAATTGAAGCATCCAGCCTAAGGAAACAAGCACATGGTGGAGTCCATATGTTTTAAAATTAGGCTCATCTTTGTTTATAACGATATGGCCCTGTAATAAATGAATATGTAGCACCAAAATGAGTTCTTCATGTGTGCCAGAAGCTGACATCTGAGTCTTGTGTACTTTATGGAGCTGATCAGCTGTATTGTACCCCTGATTGTGTCTGGCTGATGCATGTGACTCTGTGCGTACATCTTCCTGCCTAGTGCAGGGGGACTGGACCCCATGACCTTGTGAGGTCCCTTCTAGCCCCTTACAGTCTGTAAATCTGTGAACCCCTGCTCTTGCACCTCCGTCCCAATGTGGCACATTTTTGCAGTTCCTTACAGGAGATCGAGGTGGGCAGAGTTATAACCAAGGGACCCCAGGTTTGAGAACTTGAGACATCGGACCTCCTTATTTGTCTAACTCCAGCTGGAAATCTGGCATTTCATTGACAGCCAGGCAACGCATCAACTCTGGGTATTACTAAGGAAACTGACTGACTAAATAACCCATATAAGGTAAAATACACTTTTATAAAATATTTAAAGATATTCTACATATATATTAAGCTAATATGAGACACATTTTCAGTAACACCTAAGCATTTATTTATTTTTCTTGTAGCTGAAACCATTTCCCCAATTTCATGTCATGTGGCATTGCTTCGAGTTTCTGACTTTACCCTACCGAATATGCCAACCTAGCACAGCTGGCTTAAGCATTTCTGAGCACTAGGACACGTGTATCTAAGTGTGAATTTCTTTGTCTCAGACTTTTATCCGGAGCTCTTCCACAGATTCAGGACATCTGAGCAGTAACTTGGGTGGAAATGTCTCTGAATAATAAAGCTTTTCCCTTCAACTCATCATAGCTGGCAGCTTATAATTAGGAATCTATTAAAAGAATTGTGTAACTCGTAAATGTATTTTAAAACCCCAAAAAAGATAATTATCTAGGCATCATTTTAGTATTTAATGACATATTGGAGTTACAGGTCAATATCCAGCACCCGATTTGTGTTTTAAATGGCCTTAACTATAAAGAAACTGTTGTCTTGCAAATTTTTTTACAACCTGCGTGACATTTAAATCAGTACATGACTTTCAAATAAATGGCCTGAACTTTAGATGTTCTGCCTACTGAAAGTTTTTGGTAACTTCAGTAGAAAATCAGTATTTCTGACAATCAGACCACTTAC